GCCCTTTTGCAAGAAAGGGATTCAAAGAGAACCAAAAAGGGTGGCAATGTTCCACGGGGTTCTCAAAGCTCCAATGGTGGGCACCAAACGCTTGGCGAAGGGCGCGACAAAGCGTCGCTTGGGGAGACCCGCCAAGAAAGGTCTTCTCAACCCGCCAAGAAAGGTCTTCTCAAAATTTTTCGCTATCACAATCTTCGGTTCAAGCCGCAGTCTGAAAAAGGGCAAGGGATGGCTCTATTATTGGTGGTTCGCTGGCGGTGGGCTCTACGGATGAGGTGCGACCTGGGCAAAGGGTTGCTGGACAGGAAGATGCGTCTGGAAGCGCGGAAGTTCTACCTGGGCAAGAAGATGCTGGACAGGGAACGGCGTTAGAGACAGAGCTGGCCACTGGTGAAGAGACTGGGTGTGATCAAGGTGAAGGTGGGAGCAATGAACTCCATGGTGATGGCATGAAAAAATTGGCTGTCCTTAAGGCGCAGAAGAGCCATGAACAGTTATTGGCCAAAGGTCTTCTGATGCGGATCTATTGGAAGGTCGCCGACGGCAGGATACCCGTTGAAAAGAAGGACTGTCCGAAAGGATCCAATAAGATGGATCGAAATTTAGTTATCAGTGTGTCTACAGACGGCGCGAGCGAGCAGGAGTTGAGCCTGGCGCTGGTGGACAACGCCGGTCCTTCAATGGAAGATGGTACAGCATTATTGCCGGTGTATGATCCACAAATATTGATACAGTCGCCAACGACTGATTGGGTTATGCGTCGTGGTTTGACCGATCGTGCCATATGGTCCGCAATAGCGGCTTCAGCTCCAAATATATGTGCTGAAATGATTCAGGTGGATGAAATGAATTTCCGGTTGGAAACTGGGAAACTCCTTTGTCAAAGGAGAGATCAAGGACATTATGGTGATTTGCATCATCCTTTCCATGATCATCCGTGTTTGCCGGCAGTGGGGAATTATCCACTTTCTGTGATGGGAGCATTGCTATCGCCTGGCCTGGAGAATGAATTCAGAAGTACCGAAACGTTCGGAACTGCAATGGAAGCAATAGCCTTCGATTGGAGCCGTATTCAAGGTATGGAAGTTCATGTTGAACTTATGGTTAGGGTAGCAAAATTGGTTTATCCGTTCCTTACTATGGGAGCTCAGAGTTTAACTGGCAGCGCGGAAGGGATCAACTGATGGAATTCCTTCAAGCAGCGACATGTGCTGATGAGTTGGAGGAGCTTTGGAAAAGAATGGACGATGATGATGATGATGCAGAGGTGGATCCTTCAGGGATGGTGCTGGAGATCTCTGGACAGCAAGATGCGGTTTTTGGACAAGGGAACAATGAAACCCCTCTTCCTATAGAGGATGCTGGAAGTGAGACGACTGGTAACGCTGGAACCGATGGCAAAGCGCCAGAAATCTCTCCGGAAGAGGAAACGACCAGTGGTTCGTCAAGACTGTCTGGCACAAGAATGCTCTTGTGGAAGGTGTATTCTCGAGTTGCTTCCAATTGGGATTTCTCGATCCAAGATCGTACAACTGGGGGAATCTTCGACAGCACAAAGGGTTACCCTGGTGAAGGACCAAACAATAATGATGATTCGACTTCCTCTAAGAGGAACTTGCCCTGGATTTCTGAAGATCACCTCGATCAAGTGGTGGCAAAAAGGATGGAAATGTCTTCAGATATGAGTGTGTTGGATGGGTTTGTTCCGGAAGGTGAGGGACAGTTGGAAAAGGTAGAGGTGGAGAATGTAGCTGCCTCTAGAGTCCTTAGAGCTCTTTGGTTGAAGGGTTTAGGGCTGGTCAAAGGAAGTTGTGTCGTGCTGGGAAATTGAGAAGTCAAGTTGTTAGGACAACGATTCCAGCTAATCGGGTATGGAGCTTTAAAGGTAGGAAGCCTTCTTTGAAGGTGCCCAAGAAACGTGAGTCGGTTGTATTTGGCTCAGAAATCAGAGGAAAATCGATCGTGGGACTGGGGGAGTATCAAGAAGGTTTTCCAGGAAGTTCCACTGAAGCATCCACAACTAGCACCTTGGGTAAAAAAGGTAGTTCTCCAGATCATGGCAATGTCCATGTAGTGCGGGATTGTTCGATGGACCGTCTTGAAGCAGAACGTTTATCAAAAAGGAGACAAGGTATCTGCTATTGGTTTGCAAAAGGGAACAATCGCTGCAAGTTTGGTGAGAACTGCAAATTTATTCACTCCAATGAGGATGTGGTGTTAGCTTCATATTGGTGCAAGTATTATGTGGACGGACGTGGGTGCCATGCTGGAAAAGAGTGCAAGTTCTCACACGATACAGCTGGGGTGAGATGTATTCCGTTTTCTCAAACGGGAAGGTGCAAGCGAGGCGATCGATGCGTATTTGAGCACGAGAGGCCAAGGTCGCCAGCTACACCGCCAAGGGATCGTCCCAAGAAGGGCGATGGTGAAAGGAGGTTTTCTCCTGAAAGAGGAGAGGATCTAGGTGAAGAAATGCAGTATGATGAAGAAACGGAAAAGAGCAACCTCATTGCTGAAGCAGTGTCATACATGTCTGGTGGGAGGGACGACGTCGACCGCTGGGAAGGAGAGCCAATTTTCAAGCTATTGAGGATAACTGATGAAGATCAGAAAAACGAAGAGTGGCTTTCGTGGACGGACAAGATGTTATCCGCGCTGGAGTTGTATGAAGTGGTTAGATCCGTGGATATTCCGCTGGAAGAGGTTGAAGAGTGGGTGAATGATTTAAGAATCTGGTACGAAAAAGCTCAGCTGGATGGTGGAAGCGACCCCAATGGTGGTACAAAAAGACCTTTGGAAGAAGAGTTCGCTGATGAACCTGCACTTGAGGAGGTGGTGCCAGAGGTCACAGAAGTGATCGTTGAAGTGGACGAGGAGCCGGAGAAGAACAGAAAGAAGAGGAGGCTTGCTGCAACACATGATCCGTATACGTTGTTGGTTCCAAGGCCAAAGAAGAGGCCAATTGGTGCCACTCCTGCGGAGGTGAATTTGCCAGCAAAAAAGGGAGCAATTTCCAAGGAGGTGGAAAAATCCTCGATTCAAAAGGGAGAAAAGGCTTCTCATCGGGCACGGTCAAAACCTGGTAGTTCTGCAAGTCGGTTACAAAAGAAGGAGAAGGCGCCTAGTCCCAAGAAAAGGGATGCAGCACCAGATGAAGGAGGAGAGTCTGTGAAGAGGGGACAAGCTTCAGTTCCCGCTGCCTCAGAGCCGGTTACCGTTACGCCACAGGTGACCACATCGTGCAAAGCGATAGAAGAAGCGCGGCGAGAAGGATTAGTGTCCTTCATTCAGCGATGTCTGACTGATCCGTTGGTTCAAGTTCAGGATCTTGAGAGCATCTTGGTGCAGCTGTATAAGATCTGCGAAGCTGGTCGGGAGACGAACAAGTGACTGGTTTTCAAAGATGGGACGTGCGATGGTTCCTTTTCCTGGAATTGGTGACAATTTGCAGAATGGTTGGAGGAAAGACCAATGAGTCAAGAAAAAGGAGTAGGATTTACTGTTAAGGGTATGGAAATCCCTGATGGTAGAGAGTGTACAGCCCCTAAGGATTTGAAGACCGTGTTCGTGGTGAAAAAGACCGGAGAGTCTTAAGAAGCGGTTCTTTGTTGTAATTCACTCGTCCTGGATGACGTAAAACCATAGTTTGCAAGCCAATGGCTACGGCCCGTCTAATGGACGTTAAACACTTGTTTGGCTGCTGTAAAAAAGAACAGCTTTTGGCCAGAATGGAATGGAACATGCACCTCCAAGGGTGTCCTGAGGGAACCTCAGGACAGGGGGAGTGCGGAGGTTGCCTTGTATAGTTTGGAAGGGTGAAGCACCCGCAAACATGCTTGGCTCAAGATGGCCGAGAGCCGTCAGCTTTTGTTGAAAAAGTACGTACGCTTGGGGTTGGGTTTAACGGGTTGGAGTAGTCCCGTCCCTTCTCCCTTATCCTGTCCCCTTAGGGTTGGGTGTTCTTGTTTCTGGTTCGATCTGGGAAATCTATATAGGCGACTGTTGAGGGTTGGTTTCTTTCCCTGTTCCCTTTCGGTTGCCCCCGTATAGGGTTTAGGGTTTAGGGTTTAGGGTTTCAGGGCATGAGGAAAGGGCACGAGGGTTTTGGTGCTTATTGCTATCGGCTTGGGGTCTTCGTCTGCTGGGAATTCCTTTGTAGGCGTTGGCTCAGAGTTTAAGGAGACCCTAAGTGCCCTAGGTGGTTCTGGGTGCCGTAAACCCGAATCCCTACAACCCCAAGACCCTAAGGCCCTGATTTATGAGGGTTTAGGGTTTAGGGTTTAGGGTTGAGGGTTTAGGGTTTAGGGTTTAGGGTTACAAGCCCTGAGCACTACACCCAGATTGCCCTAGTTAACCAAGCTGCCCGAACCTCCCGAAGCCTGGAAGTGGTTTCTTTCCGCCGCGGCGTGCGCTGCGTCGCTTTTGTCGTTCCCCGCCCCAACAGGTCAACGGCCGGCAGCACCCTTTGTTTAGACTAGGTCCCCTTAGACTTGCTAGCCCAGTGGTGCCCTTTCGCCCCTGAGCCCCTTTGTGGCGTTCTAGGTTCCCCCCAAAAGCAGTAGCCAACCCCAAAAAGGGTACCCCTTATTGCCATATGGTTGCTGGGCTGCCAGGTAGAAACCCCATGACAAAAAGGACGCAGAGTTTCATTCTCAGGTTGCCGGGGCAATCTAGGAAACCTTTCGTCTTCAACCTTGAACCATAAAGACCCTAAGACACTGAAATCCAAACCCTAGGCATTGACTAACATCCTAAACTACGCGGAGCCGGCCCTTATTCCCCCTTTTTTAGACCCTGGGCTCCCTTGTCAGCACCTCTTTTACAAAAAAAGGGCACCCTTTTGCTTCCTAAGCTACTCCTGGGTCTAGTAGGCCACTCTGCGCCCCAAACCCTAAACCCTAAACCCTAAACCCTAAACCCTAAACCCTAAACTTAGTTTCCTAAGCCCTAAACCCTAAACCCTAAAGTCAGGGTTCCCTCTGATGCTTGAGCTCAGAGAGGTGGGCGTGCCGGCCCTCGTGTGCTTCATGAACAAGGCCTTGGGCTTAGGGCTTAGGGCTTAGGGTTTAGGGCTTAGGGCTTAGGGCTGAGGGCTTAGGGCTTAGGGCTTAGGGCTTAGGGCTTAGGGCTTAGGGTTTAGGGTTTCGGGTTTGGGGTTTGGGGTTCAGGGTTCAGGGTTCAGGGTTTAGGGTTCAGGGTTTAGGGTTTAGGGTTTAGGGTTGTCGGGGCTTCGAGGAATAGGTTTTACAGGCTTGGGGGTTTAGGTTTTGGGGGGCCGTCGGATTTGACGAAGCCCAGTGCACAGGTCGAGTGCTTTTTGGCGGGCTTGCGTTTCATCCCACCTTTGCCCAGAAAGCAAGCACAGCAACACCTCCCCTAGACCCTGCTGTTGCTACAGCCAAACATATCCGCCAGACCTTGAACCCCAACGCCTAAACCATTCAAGCCCCTTAGCCCTGTGTAAGAAGGCGGACAACCCGAAGCCCCTAAACCTTCAACCCCTAAAGCCTAAACCCTGAACCCTCAGCCCTAAGCCCTAAGCTAAAACCCTAAGCCCTAAACCCTACTTGAAAAGGTGGACATGATGGACGACGAAGAGCTTCTGGAGCTTGTCGAGCTGGAGACGCGCGAGATGTCCGGGCTTCAAGTGGTTCTGATTAGGGTTTAGGGTTTAGGATTTAGGGTTTCGGGGTCCGGGCTTCAGCCTTCCTTCGGGCGGGCGATGCCTTGAAGGGTTGGCGGTTGAGGGTTTAGGGGCTTAGGAGGTAGGGTTGGGAGTCTAGGACCCCCAAACCCCAAACCCTAAGCCCTGAGCCCTAAACCCTAAACCCCAAACCCTAAACCCTAAACCCTAAACCCTAAACCCTAAACCCTAAACCCTAAACCCTAAACCCTTAACCCTTAACCCTAAACCTAGACCCCAAACAATCCTGAGAGACGTAGGCTGTCGCCGGACTTCGGAAGTTTGCCGGACCCGATCTGGCAAGGGGCAGGGTTTCGGGCTTGGGGTTTTCTCACACCCCAGTTTGGAACAGCAGAAAGCAACCCCTACTGCGTTTGAGAGTGACCGGCTGAGGCTTAGCCAGTACGGCTTCCCCGGAGACGACACCCCCTTCATCCAAGGCACGGGGACAGCCAGCAGATGAGTACGGACTGCGGCATAGAGGTTCAAGGGACTGAAGGAGGGACCCTTATAAGGGATCTTAGGGGTTATTTAGGGGTTATTTGGGGGCTACTCAGGTATACAAGGACTATATAAGGAACTATAGGGGGTCACACAGGGGAATAAGATTAAGGGGTCCCTCCTTTTACCCTTCAAGAGGTAGTGTTGGGTTTAGATTTGGGATTTAGCGTTTCTTCACGCTGGTTGAAACGGTTGGCTCCCTGCGTGCCGAAGGTTAAACCCAACAATCTCTGGAGACGTGTCCAGACTGCTGAGCACTTACACCCCTTACTTACAAAGCATCTTATGTGAATATCCTGAGCACCTGTAGAAAAAGCTCACGAAGCACGTTTTCCAACAATGAGCCCCATGAACTCCCAGAAACCCTGCAAGCGCTGTAAACCCTATGAACCCCATAACCCCCCCCCCCAAAAAAAAAACCAAAACAAAAAAAAAAAAACTGCAAACCCTATAAACCCCATTCACCCTACACACCCTGCAAAAACCCTTCAAACCCTAAACCCTAAACCCTTCAAACCCCAAAGTAGCCAGCCCTCACAGCCAGGCAGCGCGCTGCAGGCGCTTGAGACGATGAAGTCGAACCCGGGCACCAAGAAGGGCCAGGGCCCCAACGTGCCGGGTAGGGTCTTAAGGTTCAGGGTTTAGGGTTTGGGGTGTTTAGGGTTTAGGGTTTAAAGGGTTTGGGGTTTCGGGTTTAGGGTTTGGGGGTTCTTTCTTCGGGGTTTGTGGTTTGGGGCTTTGGGGTTTGGCTGGGGTTCAGCGGGCTATAGTGCTTCGGGTTGAGAGGTTTGGGTGTGTCAAGGGCCAGGCATTCCTATATATCCCCCGAACAAACCTTCCAAACTCTGCGGACTCGACAATTATAGGGCACAGGAAATGTAGGACATGCTGCGTTGCTAGAGGAGCTATAGTTGAAGTGCAGTGCACGTGGAAGAATTGGGCACCAAGGTGACGACAAGTGGGTGGACAAGATCCTGGAGCTCATGGAGACCGTGGACGAGTACATCCCCACGCCGGAGCGCGACACCGACAAGCCTTTCCTGCTGGCCGTGGAGGACGTGTTCTCCATCTCGGGCCGAGGCACCGTGTGCACGGGCCGCGTCGAGCAGGGCATCGTCAAGAAGGGCGATGAGGTCGAGATCCTTGGCCGCGGCAAGAAGCCCCAGAAGTCCGTCATTACCGGAATCCGCATGTTCAACACCGACCTCCCGGAGGGCCCGGCCGGCTACACGGTGGGAGTGCTGTGCCGTGGTATCGACAAGGATGCTGTCTTCCGCGGCCAGGTGATTTGCGCGCCCGGTGCCACCAAGACCCACACCAAGTTCAAGGCGAACATCTACTTCGCCAAGAAGGACGAGGGCGGCCGCTCCAACCCGGTGATGCCCGGCTACATGCCTGTGTTCTACTTCCGTACCTGCGACGTCACGGGCAAGATCGAGGGCATGGTGAGCAGCGACGGCGATGACGTGCAGATGGCCATGCCCGGTGACAACATCACCTGCACATGCGAGCTCATCGCCGGCACGCCCATCGAGAAGGGCATGCGCTTCGCCATGCGAGAGGCTGGGGTTGTCCAAAGTTCATTCCAGAAGCGCTTTGTTTCTCGACATTCTGTCATGTGGCCCGGTGCTCAAGGGCAGGGCCGTGCCATGGGATTGAAGGCCTTACCTCAATGTGGTCTAGAGAGAGAAGCGTCTGCAAGGTTGGTCACAAGGCCCAAGAATTTGGATGTAGGACTCACGTCACCCCAAACCCTAAACCCTAAACCCTAAATCCTAAACCCTAAACCCCAAACCCCAAACCCCAAACCCCAAACCCCAAACCCAAACCCGTAGCACTCCTGGTGGCTCATTTCGACGGCCGTCCGGGGAATATGTCCCGCGGACACCCACAAGACAACCCGCACATGCCAGTTTGGCATAGGTAGGTTCCTCTTGGGCAGATGATTCTTGCGAACCCTAAAATCCTAAGCCCTAAAACCCTAAAACCCTGAAACCCTAAAACCCTAAACCCCTCAAGAGATTCTTATAAGGTTCAGAGTCCAGGGGCCGTTAGGGCCTCTAGTTGCCCTCGACGCAAGAAAGCAGCGCTAAACCCTAAACCCTAAACCCTAAACCCTAAACCCTTTTCCCTAAACCCTAAACCCAAAACCCTAAACCCGGGCAGGGCGGCCGCACCATTGGCCAGGGTCTCATTGAGGAGACCATGTAAGGCCTGGCCTCTCCCAGGCTTAGGGTTTAGGGGTTAGGGTTTAGGGTTTAGGGTTTGGGGTTTAGGGTTTAGGATTTAGGGTTTAGGGTTTAGGGTTTAGGGTTTAGGGTTTAGGGTTCCGGGTTTAGGGTTTAGGGTTTAGGGTTTAGGGTTTAGGGTTTAGGGTTTAGGGGGCTGATGGTTCTTTTTTCGTGTTTTTTTCTGTTTGTTTTTCGTGTTTTTTTTTTTTATTTTTTCTGGTTTTTTTTTCGTATTTTTTATGGTTTCAGGTGAACCCTAAACCCTAAACCCTAAACCCTAAACCCTAAACCCTAAACCCTAAACCCTAAACCCTAAACCCTAAACCCTAAACCCTAAACCCTCCTAAACCACAAACCCCAAACCCTAAACCCCTAAACCCTAAACTCCTAAACCCTAAACCCTAACCCGAAACCCTAAACCCAAGACCATGAAAAACACGAACAAAAAACATAACAAAAACACGAAAAACAAACCTGGACCCGGTTTAGGGTTTAGAGTTCTTAGGGTTCTTAGGGTGTGCACCACAAACTCCACACGCCAAAGCCACTATGAGTCCCTATACACCCCAAAACCCTGAACCCTAAACCGCAACTGAGCCACTGTGGTTATATAGAACCTATAACCCTAACCCCCTTTGTGGTTTAGGGTTTTGCGGGGGTGTGCGTGTGGCGGGGCTTGCGAAGGATAGGAGAAAAAGGGGTGTTGAACAATTGCCTTGAGGGTTTATGGATTCGAGCCTCAGACTACTAGCTTTGGAGATGCAAGGCGGCTGGCCATTTTTGGTTTTGCGCACGTCTTGGGTTTAGGGTCGAAAGCCGGGTGTCAAGGGCGGGGTGTGGGGTGTAGGGTGGTCCTGGGGTGCCGGGTAACCCAGTGAGGAGTTCGGAATGCTGCCGAATCCTCCCTAGTTACCCTACCAGAATGGTTGGTTTTGGGGGCCTCCCATCAAGGCCTGAGGATTTCGAGGTTTGGGGTTTACATGTAATGTAATGTTTATGGGGCGGTTAAGGTATTTCGGGGCGGATTAGGGGAGACTTAGACCCTAAATCCTGTAAGCCCTGTCGGAGGCCCACCTATCCAGGCAGTCCATGCCAACGGCGGATGCTGCTGACCTGTTCCCGGGCAGACGTTGAGCTCAGGGCTTGGGGGCTTTCTGGCTCAGGCACATCGGGGTTCTGGAGCTTTGCATAGGTTTGGAAGGGGTTTTTGTTCAGGGAGAAGCGAGGGTGAACGTGGCCCAAAGCTTTAGCCGAAGCTAAATGATGCACATCCTCTTCCCCGCTATTCTCCACCTACACGAGCACCATCTACTGCTCGGCCTTAAGCAGCTGTTACTCCCTGATCCTGAACCCGCAACTCCCTCTAAACCTAAACACCCTACCCTATCAAGAACCCAAAGCCTACTTTTTTGGAGGGTTCTTCCGAACCCTAAACCTTAAACCTTCAACCCTAAACCCTAAACCCTAAACCCTAAACCCCTAACCCTAAACCCTAAACCTACAAAGAAGTAGGTGTTGGGCTCTCTCAAGGTAAACCCCTAAGCCCTGAACACCTCGGCTTCCTCAACTTCCACCAGCCCCCTACCCGGCAAAAGGAGGGGGTTTAGGGTTTAGGGTATAGGGTTTAGGGTTAGGGTTTAGGGTTTAGGGTTTAGGGTTTAGGGTTTAGGGTTTAGGGTTTAGGGTTTAGGGTTTAGGGTTTAGGGTTTAGGGTTCAGGGTTCAGGGTTCAGGGTTTAGGGTTCAGGGTTCAGCATCTCTGGTCCAAGCATTCACTAGTTGAGCAGCTTTCAAGGCCACAGGGGAATACCCACCCGCCCATTGGGTCCCACACCATTAGAAAATATCCAACTAAACCCTGGGGCCCCGACCCCCTGAAGATCCTAAACCCTCTCCTACTTATAATAATTTAAATGTTAAGCACACTCGTGGTTTTAGGCAAGCCCCCGCCCGTGAAAATCCTAAACCCTAGGGCCCCGACCCCGTGAAAATCCTAAACCCTGGGGCCCCGACCCCCTGAAAATCCTAAACCCTCTCCTACTTATAATTATTTAAATGTTAAGCACACTCGTGGTTTTAGGCACGCCCCCGCCCGTGAAAATTCTAAACCCTAGGGCCCCGACCCCGTGAAAATCCTAAACCCTGGGGCCCCGACCCCCTGAAAATCCTAAACCCTCTCCTACTTATAATAATTTAAATGTTAAGCACACTCGTGGTTTTAGGCAAGCCCCCGCCCGTGAAAATCCTAAACCCTAGGGCCCCGACCCCGTGAAAATCCTAAACCCTGGGGCCCCGACCCCCTGTAGATCCTAAACCTCTCTCTACCTATATAAATTTAAACCTTAAGGTGGAGCCAAAACCGGACCCCCCCCGGACCCCTTCAATTTTAAAGGCAAAATAGTCTGGCGTCGTGTGAGCACCAACCTTCCCCCTCGACGCCAGTGAAAAACCCGAACCCTGGCCCCGAGCCCGTGAAAAAAAAGCCAGTGAACAACCTGAACCCTGGGGCCCCGATGCCCGAGAAAACCCTGAATTTGATGTTCGAGGGCGGGTTGGGGAAAATTCAGGTCCTTACTAGGTCTCCGAAGCCAGTGAAAAACCGAACCCTGGCCCCTCGACGAGTGAAAAACCTGAACCCTGGCTCCTCACCGTGGAAAAAAAACCAGTGAAAAACCTGAACCCTGGGGCCCCGACGCCCGGTTTTATTGGGTCTCCGAAGCCAGTGAAAAACCTGAACCCTGGCCCCCCGACGCCAGTGAAAACCCGAACCCTGGCCTCTCGAGGCTGTGAAAAAAAACAGTGAAAAACCTGAACCCTGGGGCCTCAGGTCCTTACTAGGTCTCCGAAGCCAGTGAAAAACCGAACCCTGGCCCCTCGACGAGTGAAAAACCTGAACCCTGGCCCCTGGAGCCCGTGAAAAAAGAAACAGTGAAAAACCTGAAGGAACGCCCACGCCCGTGAAAAAGCTGAACAACCAGTGGAAAACCTGAAAAACCAGTGAAAAACCCGAACCCTGGCCCTTCGAGAGGCCAGTGAAAATCCTGAACCCTGGCCCCTCGAGCAAAAAAACAGTGAAAAACCTGAACCCTGGAGCCCCCACACCTACGAAAAAACTGAACAATCGGTGGAAAACATGGAAAACCGGTGAAAAACCTGAACCCTGGCCCTTCGAGGCCAGTGAAAAACCTGAACCCTGGCCCCTCGATGCCGGTTTGTGTGCAAATCCACGAAGGTTTGTGTGCAAATCCACGAAGGTTTGTGTGCAAATCCACGAAGGTTTGTGTGCAAATCCACGAAGGTTTGTGTGCAGAAGGTTTGTGTGCCACGAAGGTTTGTGTGCAGATCCACGAAGGCCAAAACATTATATAAGGTTAATGGCCTTCGTGGATTTGCACACAAACCTTCGTGGATTTGCACACAAACCTTCGTGGATCTGCACACAAACCTTCGTGAATTTGCACACAAAACCGTTGAAAAACCTGAACCCTGGCCCCCCGACGCCGTTGAAAAACCTGAACCCTGGCCCCTCCAGGCCGATTTGTGTGCAAATTCACGAAGGTTTGTGTGCAAATCCACGAAGGGGTTTAAGGTTTAAATATATATAGGAGAGGTTTAGGGTTTGGGGTTTAGGGTTTAGGGTTTAGGGTTTAGGGTTTAGGATGATATACGGCATAGAATTCCCTTAAGCGGCTCTTCTAGAGGAATAGAATGTGCCCAAATTCCCTCATCCCTTCTGAAGAGCCGGTAAGCCAAGGTATCTTCGGTGCACCCTTTGCACGTGCACCACCGCTCCCATCGCGGGCCGGGAGGGGGTAGGGCTCTGTAGCTCTTCAAAGTCCTCTGTTAAGTGAAGTGTTTAGGCCTTAGGAACTTCGGGGCTAAACACGAAACCCTAAACCCTGAGCTCTATAAACCCTTAAACCCTAAACCCCTAACCCTAGAGGCTTCAGGGGTTCTAAGTTCTAGGGAAGCCACGCAAACGGCTCTTCGCAAGGCTGAGGTTTCAGGGTTGAAGGTTTAGGGTTTAGGGTTCAGGGTTCAGGGTTTAGGGTCGGTACTCTGAAGGCGTTTTTGGGCTACCTGCAAGTAACCAATTTGGCTGTTCGCTCAGCTAGCCGTGGGCGTCTTGGTACATGAGAGCTCTGCACCCTGCGATGGTACGGTTTAGGGTTTAGGGCCAAATTTGCCTGAGTCTGGGGGTAGCAGCCCATTCCCTCCTTGCGCCAGCTGGGGTAAAGTCAGGCGCAGCGATCCCAGATATATTTGGCCACTAGCTTGTGCTGGAGCGATTTAGGATTTAGGGTTTAGGGTTTAGGGTTTAGGGTTTAGGGTTTAGGGTTTAGGGTCTAGGGATGAACCCCAGAACCTTTTGGAGACCCCGAGCCCAAGGCACCCGACAACCACCATTAGCCTAAGAACCCCCAAGGATTGCAAGATAATATTCCCATTTAGGGTTTTTTTAACGTTAAAAAACCCCTAATTTAGGGTTTTTTAACGTTAAAATTTAGGTTTTTTTACCGTTAAAAAACCCTAAAAGATAATATCCCCTTCATTCCCTTCAAAAGGCAGAGTATTCTTAACTTGCTTCGGGTGGTCTTAAGCAAATAGGTAGATAAGCCCCTGAAGCCGCAGTGTTCCTTCGATTTTCGAGGTTCCAGCACCAGCTCTAGAAATTTTCAGTTTCTGGTGCCCAAGCACCTCACGAGATCTCGGAGACGCCGTGCCTTCACGCAGATCCCGCCTCACCATTCTGGGTTTGGGGCTTTGGGTTCTTCATGCCATTTTTACCTAAGCCCGACCCGGAGAACCCTAAGTTGGAGGTTCGGTACTTAAAAGGAGGGTTGTACGCTCCCTACATAGGGTTAAAAGCATACGACCAAACCCTACTCATAGCTACCAATACACCTCCAAGAAGACCCGTAATCCTAGGGTCCCAAGTATGGGGCCCTTGATTTGGATCCCCTTGTGAAAGCCCCTTAGA